CTAGTGCTTTAACCACTATGCCACCTGCTGGTCCCCAAAACCTTTTTTTTATCGTATTTCTTTTGGCTTTTTACTTTTTATTTAAAATTTTTTGCCAGAGGGTGCATGTATGAGAGAGAGAGAGAGAGTAAGAAAGTATGCCCTTTGGAAATGGCTACACTGCAATCCCTCTTCTCCCTCCTTTCAGGATTTCAGGCATCCACGCACATGTATCCAGCATGTTTTTCAGGCTGCTGGATCTGGGACTCGAACCATATAGTCAGCCATGTGGGATCCAGCTACCTTAACCACCATGCCACTAGCTGCCCCTCAAAACCTTTTTAATTTTGCTCCAACAGGTGGTAACAGCTGACCACATCCAACTCATTGTGCCCCTTGTGCTGGAGCAGAACCTGTGGTCCTGTATCCCTGGTGAGGACACCATCATGAACGTCCCTGGCTTCTGCCTGGTTCGTCGTGAGAACCCAGAGTACTTTCCTCGGGGTAGCAGTTACTGGGACCGCTGTGTAGTAGGTGGCTATCTCTCTCCAAAGACAGTGGCAGATACATTTGAAAAGGTCGTGGCTGGTTCCATCAATTGGCCGGCCATAGGGTCGCTCTTGGACTACGTGATCCGACCCGCACCACCTCCAGAGGCCCTGACACTAGAGGTGCAGTATGAACGTGACAAGCACCTTATCATTGACTTCCTGCCCTCAGTGACCCTTGGTGACACTGTCTTGGTGGCCAGACCACACCGGCTAGCCCAGTATGACAACCTGTGGCGGCTGAGCTTACGTCCTGCTGAGACGGCACGCCTGCGGGCTTTGGACCAGGCCGACTCAGGCTGCCGATCTCTGTGCCTCAAGATCCTCAAGGCCATATGCAAGTCCACTCCGGCTCTGGGCCACCTCACTGCCAGCCAGCTGACCAACGTCATCCTCCACTTGGCCCAGGAAGAGGCTGATTGGTCTCCAGATATGCTGGCCGACCGTTTTCTGCAGGCTCTGAGGGGGCTCATCAGCTACTTAGAGGCCGGAGTCCTGCCCAGTGCCCTAAACCCCAAGGTGAACTTATTTGCAGAGCTCACCCCTGAAGAAATAGACGAATTGGGATACACTCTCTATTGCTCATTGTCTGAGCCGGAGGTGCTGCTGCAGACGTAGGGCAGGTGAAGGCCAATGTGGGTGTCAGGTGGTCACCCTGGATTCTCCGTTAGAAACACTCGGCTTCGTAGTTGGTGCCTCACAGGGTCCCTGGGTGCCTCCTGTCTTGCTGGTCACCGCCCCGGTCACTTCATGCTGATTGGAATGACATCTCTTCAGTCTCCTATTTTCTTACCCAACCCTTTCTATTTTTGTTACCAAACACTGTGCTCCCTGCTCCCCTTTGGTCCAGGCTGATTTTTCTGGAATGAATTGAGACGGAGTGCCGGCCTGAGCTGTCGAGACCACTTGGTTTGTGGCATTCTGGCCCAGGTTTCCTGCTTCTGTCGGGTTCGCTCCACCCCACCCCGCCTTATTGCTTATTTCTATTGGGTGTCTTTTCTGTCTTCTCCTCTCGTTCATGCCTTCTGTTTTGCTCTTGTCCTTGGAGCATATCTGCCTAAATAAGATGTTGCCTTTCATTGACTGACATTGAAGAGCTGATGGCGTGTTTCTAAGCCGAACTGAGACAGTATTTAGGACTCTGGGGAGAGGCTGGCAAAGAGCTGGCCTTTGACCATGGTTCAGAACAGCCCATTGCCTCCACCTCCTGACCAGCCTACTCCTAAGTAAAGGGAACACTGTCCTTACCCAGTGCAGGGTCAGTACACCGGGTGCCGTTAGCTGGAGATGGTGTTTGTCAGTGGCCATCAGCAGGGTGCGGCAGTGGTTAGGAGGGAGCCGGAGCTGGTTGGAGGGCCTGCTGGAGGGTCTGTGCGCCTCTCGTCTGCACCCCTCTGGTTGCAGGAGTCAGACCAGGAAGAGGCAGGGGCTGCAGGGCAGACCTCACCACGGACATTCTTCATCCCTTTCCAAACTTTATCGCCAGTGAGGACGAGGCCTTTGAAGGAACACAGCCTTAGCAGTAGTGGTTGAGGGAGGCCGACAGGCTGAATGGCAGCTAGAAAATGCTGTCACCAGTTGGGGCTCGGTGACCATGTTTCTCCCCGACAGGCCCTGCCTTTTCAGATATTGCCTTAGAGCAGTAAGAGGCCCAACAGCCAGCTCTTCGTCCCACAGTCTGCCATAGCAACGTGAGGGATGTTTGCCAAGCTCTCCAGACACCTCCAGAGGCAGAGGGCAAGTGAACATGCATAGACTGCTCCCCCTGTCCTGTCTCTCACCCAGCACCCCGGGAGATCGGTGCTACCTAGGAAGAGAGAGCACACAGGTAGAGGGAGGTGGTGCCTCCTGCCTTCCTCCTTGTTTCCCCGCTGCTACAGTTGCTGTTGATTGCAGTGTAAACGTATCCCAAGGGTGGGGAGGGATGCTTAATACACCATGTCAGTGTGTCTTGTTCTGTGTTTTTTTTTTCCCTGTTTGTGGCAAGAGGTTGATAATTGTCTCTGATCTGCCCACCCAGTATTTTGTTCCCCCTCAAGTCTTATTATTTTTCTCTTTACTACCTCTCCATCAGTGAGATTCTGGTGAACCTCCCTGCAGCTGTCTCATTCCTTCCTAATGACAGTGACATGAAATGACTCTTTAAATAGCAGTGACACCTCAGCAACCCTCTGAATTTAGTGTAGCAATTCCTGCCCACTTTTTGTCATAGATTAGGAGGTTGGGGACTGGGATTAACCTTGACTATTTAGAGAACCTTCCTGCCTCTTTTGCTAAATATATGCAAGGATTCCTTAGGTGGGTCAGTTTTATTTGTAAAAAGGTATTGAAAGAGAATGAAAAAGGTAAAACTGAGAACCTTGAGAGAGACTGGTTGGTTGGGCGTTTAGAGAACGTTTATTCCTGGGTGAATGGCGCACAGGGTACGGGTGGAGGCCAACATTGAGGGTCCCTGTGCGCCCACTTGGTATCTGTTAGAGGTTAAGTGGAAGGAATGTAGAGTGTTGCAAATGCATAGATTCTTAAGGATTTCGTTTTCTTGCCGTGAGTATTGTAAAACTAAAAATTTTCCCAAGCTGGCATCTCTGACCAAATGCCATATAAATTCTTGGAAGGAGAGCTCAAAAAAGATTTTAAAGAGTCCACAGCTACCAAGGCCAAATGTAAGTGTGATTTTAGGAAGAGTAATGAGAATTCCCTCTTCTCTTTAAGAGCATCTCTGACTTCTAAGTGTTTCTTAAAACTAGGACCATAAATTTGCCATTTTACAAGCAAAAGCCCCTTCGAAGTTCTTGGAATGAGAAGCTGTGGGCACCGTCCGCCCTGGCCCTGGTGCGTTTGCTGTGATGGGGCAAGCCGTTCTCTTTGCTGCCGTTGGCCTCCTCATCAAATGTGGAACACGGCCAAGTGCTGTGAGGCCCTCAGATGGAAGCAGGCAATTCTCTGCCCTTTTATTACCTTTTTCATCTTTGGGGAAAGATGCAGCGGCATTTCGCACTGCTCTTCTGTTCAGTAACTCCCACTTCTGCCTGAAGAAATAGCACCTGTTCTCGTTTCTCCATTTAGAGATTTTGCACTCCGTTAGCTAATGCTTAAAAGATCCACCCATCATTAACTCGGACACCTAATAAATTCGAGTTTATTTTAGTTTGTTCCAATTGCCGTTTCCTAAAAATGAGTTCAGGACAACAGTATTTTGCTTCATGTGCTCAGTTATGATTCTTAAAAAATTAAAGAAATGTGGAGGCTCATGTTTAGAGAAGCTATGCGGCGGGGGCGGGCCCTCGTAGTCACCTGTTCACATCCCCAGTTAGCCGATTTTGCTTCCTGTATTGCACTCATGTGGAGAACGCAAGTGGTGTTGATGAAGATCAAAGTGTCCTGGGCAAGGCTGTGGTAAGTTCTGTAAGAAAGGATCCTTGCCGTGTCCAGAGCCCTCTGCCATGGCTGCTGTGGTCCATCTTCCCTGGACTGTGACCTGGCTGAGAACTTGGCTCTTGGGGGATTTGTTAGAACTCTGCCCGTTTGCCTGAAGCTCAAGGCCACAGACAGTATGAGACATTTAGGAGGAGAGCTGACCTCTGTACCAAGCTGGGAGGTTGTAGTCCTTTTAGATACTGCGTAATGTAGGTGGCCAAAAGGCCAGAGGTGTGGGCCCTGTGGTCACCTGCAAACTGGATGTTCACCTTTTCATTTTGATCACCTTGTAGGCTTTAAATGCTTGGTTGAGGCCAAGTCCACTACTTGCCTTCTGGTCACTTGCCTGCTCTTCAGTGGGGGCTGATGTGTTAGCTGGCAGACTTGGCACCAGTCAGCAGTCTTTCTGTCCTGTCTCGACTAGGTCCATACAAGGGCAGCTTAGCCCTGAGACCCAGGAAACCGCTATCTTTTTTTCCTCCTCGAAGGAGGAAATAAAACTGGGGAACACATTGTCCTTCCACAGCATGGGAAGAAGAAAATAAAAATCTCCTTTCCAACAGCTCTGACTTTGGTGTGTGGTATGAAATGTTCTCCTACAGGAGCGGGACGGGCACTGTTCTCAGCGAGAACCTTTGAGGTGACCCGGGTTTCCGTAACAGAATGGATGGGACAAGCTGCCACTGGAATCTTTCTCTCCTAACCTCTGCAATGCCAGAACTGGGTCAGTGTTACTTTCTTTAATTCTCAGCCACCTGCATGATCATCCTCAGGAGGCACTACAGATCTCTCAGCACCGCGTAAGGAGGACAGGCCCCGGGGCCTTGGTGCCTCCTGTGGAGGGCACAGATAAGGAATGGCCCAGGGATTCCTGC